TACTCAGAAATTTCAGAAGCAATTTAGATTTGAATATCACTGTCCGTTTTTAAAGCGAATTAAAAATGTGCAAAAAGTCTTAGGCAACAAGTTAAAAATTGGGTTAGGACTAACTCTGCCCTAATTTTAACTTGTTTCTTGTTTGTTAAAATTTTATGTCAAAGCTGGCACAATTTTTTTAGCCTAAATAGTATCACTAAACTAGTTTTCTTTTGGACCAGGGGATCTGGTCCAAAAGAAAACTGGTTTAGTACAAAACTGGGCCATGACTGGTCCTGGCCCAGTTTTGTTCACTTTGCCAAACACACTCTTAAGTTCCTTGTAAAAATAACTTGGATTAACTTCTCATGAATGCTGATCAACGCATCTATTCTTCTGTACTTATAGGAAAATCCAAAGAATCCTTATTTATGCTACAGTGAATTACCGTAGCATGAACGGTAAACCACAGCTGGCCCTCCGCGCTTGAAGTTACTATTATGCTAAAGCAATTTACTTTAGTATAATCAATAACTTAGATCTGAGCCTCTATACTTAAAGCTACTATTTATTTTATAGTATTTTACTGTATCTACTCCTCCGTACTTAAAGGAGAATCCAAAGAATATTGTTCATGATATAGTAATTGTACAGTAAAAAAAGTATAACATAAGCAGTAAATCAAATCTGGTCCTCTGCACTGAAGTTAATGTTCATGCTACAGTAATTTACTGTAGCGTAAACAGCTGATCAAATCTACACTTCAAGTTACTATTTATGCTACAGTAATTTACTGTATCATAAACAGTTAAAGCAAATCAAATGTATTAAAACTTGGATCATTCTTTAAGTATCGAGGAATAGATATGATTACTAAATCAAATGTATTAAAACTTGAATCTTTCTTTAAGTATTGAGTAGATATGATTTCTAATTTTAAGTATACAATAATTAAATCAAATATATTAAAACTCTCAAAATGCAGTGCTTAAAAAAAATAGGGGTCGTCCTTTGCACGGGTGCACACTAGTATTGAGTTATTCTCAAATTTATACAAGATTTGAGTCATTGATGTCCCATTTGTTGGTTTTGGGCTGGTACTATTAAGTGATACTGTTTCTTGAATGTCTTATTAAATTGTTTGATTGGTAGGTAGTTCAACTGTTGTTAGTTGAGGAACATGTGAGTTTAACCGTGGGTTAGCTTCTCATGAATCTCGGATTGAGAAAGGATATTTTTAGTTTTGTTTGGTGGGTTAGGTGGTAGCTCTTGATTAATGTTTAAGCTCTTGTTAGTTGTGCGGTTAAAGATTTGATTTAAAGGATCTCAAGTTGTTTTCTTCACTTATTAGATTCAGGAAAAGCTCTCCTCTGTTGGGTGAAATTGAGCTTACCTTGACTAGTAGATTACTACTTGATCATGTGGTTGAGGACTCAGGATGGTGGTTAACAGGGACCAATAATATAAGTATTAAGATCAAGAAATTATCATATCTTAAAAGAGTTACTTGTTGGCTTCGCTTTTGAACGGTCATCTTCTAATTTAATATGCAAACATATAATCTTCAATGTTCGCAACAATTCTAGAACTTTGGTACTGAAATAAACTTTGAAATGATACCAAAACGAAATAGATTCAAATATTATGAATCGTGCATTTAAATAGCGATTTTTTTCTGGGTGTTGAAATTAGGATGAAAATTCGGTTTGGTGTTCATAGTTGCCTAGTTCGTATTTTTATACTTTTGACCACGTCTCTTGTCTAGACTGTGATGAGATTTCAGAACTATAATTGCCCTTCTAATTATTTTAATTGTAATGTTTTCAAGATATGGAAAATTTATTACTTAAATATCTTTATCCAATAATGGAAGTTTACTTGTGTCCATCAATTTTCCAAGAAAGTTGTTCATATGTCAAGTATTAGGTGTTGCATTATCTATCTGTTTGTTTTCTAATTGGCATTAGATCACTAGTACATTGAAATCGTACAGTCCAAAATTTGGTCTTACTTGATATTATGTTCCCCTATCACCTAGACTCCTAATTAGGAGAAAATGATGGCTGAGACTTTAGTTAAGAAAAGGGTAAATGAGAGAAATGCGGTCCAAATCATCAAGTAGTATAATATCATAGGAAACAATAATACGGTATGCACGCACGAATACCTCTATGTCGACGTATAAATACATGCATAGGAAACCTCGAAATTATTAGTTTTACGTAAATTATACGCACCAATGTCAAAAACTGCATCGATCTATCAGTTGACTTAACATTGAACTTAATTAAAAGATTTTACCTAATAATTTGGAAATACCAAATTCTAGAATTTTTTTTTTGAAATACTTTATATGCCAGAAACAGCTATATATACATAAGAGGAAGTGGAGGTGGCAAATGATTGAAACATAAAGATTCTTGCTTACGGTTGAGAGCAAATGTCAATCTATTGCCCCTGTTGATCACTTTTTCAAAATAAATCCAGAAAGTTTTAGCATAATTAATACTCAGACCAGTGGTATTTACGTCTCTCTCTTGTGTAAGTGGTTTCCTAGAGAGAGATTCTTCTCCTTTTGCTTCTGTTTTTCTATATGAATATTTTTAATCTTTTTGATGTAAATCTTTAAGTTTTTCATCCGATCGAAAGGAAGGAAGAAAGAGTCGAAACAGAGAAAAATTGTATAAATTTCAGTAACGCCTCCAGTTCGTGGTCTCCGAACTTTTGATATTACAAGGGCCTTAGCATCTCTTTAGGAAACATGTTCACGGGACCAGATGACAAAAATTGTGAGGTTACTGAGCTCAAAGGAGGAGAGTTTGGTTGGCAGTTACTAATAAGTTGAATGAAAACTTATATGTACGGACTTTTTATGTTTTATCAAAAGAAAAAGACAGATATTCTGTGAAAGCAACGGCACATTTATTTCACTAATTTCAGCTCATTTTCAAATTGGGAAACTTATGTTTAGGGTTTTCCTCTTTACTTCGTCTTCATTTATTTTTAACTCGGATGATTCCATTTCGCCTCTTGTATAGATTCGTCACTATCTGAAGTTTTTCTTAATTAATTTCTTGAAAATATATTAAGAGAATAAACTGTGCAAATCACTCCTCTTCATGATGACCAAGGTCTCAAAATCGTCACAACGGTGTTGTGTAACAGTATCACGCGTCAAAGTGATCAATTACTTGACATCTATCGATGAAAAATGAAAATTATTTCAAAAAGATGAGCGGAATCATATTTGAAGACACAGTACATAATAGATCGGCAAAAGAAAGAAAGAAAAATAAAGACAAAAATTCTACGGAAGCACAAGATTCAACAAGGTCCGGCAACCAATGCAATTGCAAAAATATCCACTCGCTAGTTGGTGCTCCTTCACAATTATGTAGGGCTTCGTTCTAGATCCCGGTGCCTTTGTATTCTTCATGGAAATCAGGCTCGTAAACAATATCCTCTGGTTAATTATTTGTTATTTTCTTCCTAATGACACGCATCAGTTACGCTGTAATGTTTTCCTCAAAATTTAGCAACTACGTCCGCTGGCACACAGATCATGACTCGAGATAACAAGATACTACACAATATAGATATCAATGACACGGGGAGAGAATATCAGTAACAACCCCAAAGGCAAACCAAACCAAGTCATATAATAAATAGCCTTTTGCCACGCCCTTCAAATGTTGGCCCAAGTGGGTGATGGAAGAGTTATGGGGTCTGGATTTAATTAGGGAATTGATTGCGTGAGCTCAAAATGGTATGGAGTTTGGTGCAGGCGCATGACGGTTGTGGGTTGGCTCAATGCTCGATGGCCTGGGTCTGACTGTGAAATCGGTGGCGCTTTGTGGTTTTTGGGAACTTTTAAGTGGTCACGGCTCTCTGATCGTAAAGATCTTTACCCTTTTTTTTCTTTGAATTCGTTGTTGGGTTTTGAGCGATGATGGGGGCTTCAAGAGCTTCCTCCGTCCAAATTCCCTGTCTCGTGTTGTTTGTTGGGGCCAGTACTCTCTGTGATGTGAAGTGATGTAACACATTCAGACGCTTCACATTATATAAATCAATCTCGTCTAGCATGCTTGAAACTTATCCGACTTAAAACCTCCACTATAGAATTATGCACTAAAAACCATATAATTTTACTAATTTATCTAGGACCATTATGACTCGATTCACGCCATAATTTTAGCGGTACTACAACAGGGGTTTTCAACTTTTTTATCGTCCATTCTTGGAATTTTCTTAACAAGTTTGAGCTTGACAACGTTACGTGATGTAATGCTACTACAACTTCTCAGATGATGTAGCACTTTATGTTTTCTATGATCTTTGGTATGATACTATTTCGTATGATGAGGGGCTTAAAAAAGATATGGTCCCTGCACTTGCTTATGAGAGAAATTTACGTAGCAATCAGCATTTCATTATGTGCGGATGCATTAGTTTAACTCAATAAGCTTCTGGTTTGTTTATCCCTACCATGATAACCTTTTATACATCAGTGGCTAGTATTCTATATTTGGGTTAGGCTAGAGATAATGTCTTTTTTTGATGTTGTGAGATGAGCAAACCAATAATTAGTATATTTGCCACCTCTCCTCAACGCTAAGACAATATATTTCTTTTGGCATACAATGCATTTTCCTCAAATAATTTCAACATGCAGATAATGTTGAATCTTGTTTAAAATAATAACATTCTTAAAGATTGTTATCTAGAACTATCTGATGTAATCAGAACAACGCATTTGGAAGGTTGCTTTCGGACCTTCGACCTTTAATTTAGTATATGTCAAAATCGTTTTTTATTCTTAAATTTTGTGTGTTCTCCTATATGTACACCAGGCTCAAATTCTCAGAATCTCAAACCATCAAATTAACTATGCACGTATGTAATATATAGTTGTTATTTTTGATGTGTATATTCAGACACCTATAGGATGCAAGGAAGCAACTTGGCCCCCTGTGTATCTCAGGAGGTAAAACACACAGAAGACAACATCAAAAGGCACGGAATTAAAACAAGGAACTTTTCAGTAAATATAAATAAATTCTAGAACAAGTTTCCTGATACCCTGCGAATGGAAACCCTTGAAAGCTTAATCTGAACGCCAACCTGGTCCATAACTGCATCGAGTAGAGAATCATCAAGGAGGCCCAAAAAACAAAAGCAAAGGGCAAGGTTAGCGACAATATGGTTGTGAGCGGTGGCATGTTTATATAAGAATTAAATAGTTGATATCGTTGTGAACTACAGTTCAAAACTTGGGTTCAAGCTCCATGGTCAAATTCCATCAAATTCCATCTACAAAGTATGATCTCGAATCTGATGCTCTAAACACCACCTAAGCATCTAACGCTCTTAGTGGGACCTGACCATTCTAAGAGAGAACATCTACTTGTGATACAGGTAGGCAATTGTGAATATGAAGAATCCAGCCATCTGCAAGTTTAACAAGAACATAAAAAAGCTTTAATCTAGGAGAATTTGTTAGTAAATATAAATTGTGCTTCATATTTTAAACATATTGAGAACATCAGAGAGCATATTCATCTAAAGAACACATCAGAGAGCAGGAATAAAAAGGCAAACTTACAGTAGAAAATGATGCCCCATAGTATGGGTAGGCTGTTGTAATAAATCTCTCATATTCATTGTGTCTGAAAGGTCTCACTGGAATCTGCAGTTGACATATTTTAAACATATTGAGAATAATAAACAAATATATGTTTATTTGCAGTGGAATCAAATTATCAGTGACATTGACATTAATGGCTGAAACTCTCTTTGACATTAGACTACCTATTGTAGCGGGGTCATCAAGTTAGCTTCAAGATGTACATTGCAACCAAAACCATCTTCACCTTTCTAATTAATACAATGATAAGCCAACACAAACAAGAATTTTGGGGTCACAAATAAGCTTTTAGATCTGATGCTAAAATGCTTCCCTCATAGGAGGTTCAGAGGTCAATTTTCCTAGAGAAGTTCTCTCCTTAAGTAAAGCTTTCTTCCCTGAGAAAATATTTACAAGCAGTTTTGAAGATTTAACATTTCTTTTTAAAGTAATCTTCATCGTCTGTTCTCCCATCAGCACCTCACTAACCTCCTAAGTAGGACAGAAGCAGCAGTGCAGCTTTCTTGAACTGTTTTCTGGTGGAACTGGGGAAATTTTGGCACACAAAACAGTGTGGTCATCTCTAGAATTAGCAAAACAAATATCAACTATGTTTATTCACATTTGTAATGAAAGAGTATGCAAAATTACCATCCAGCTTAGGTTGGATAAGTTCAGAACGGTAGGCATAAGCATTAAAAATCAAAATGATGTTCATATAGTATTGCTATGTATTATGAGCTAATGTAGTTTTCTTGCTTTCATAAAAATTGGATTTATCCTTTTCAAAGAAAAATATGCAGGAGACATACAAACCTGCTTTGCAAGAGAGAGGGTTGTGTATCCAAGCCTTTGGTACTCCACCTTGAATTGGAAAACACCATAAACATCAGGAACCTTGAATGTTGTTGAGTAAACACCCTGCAACAATAAATCATTCAGATTTTAGAACTACCACCACCACAACGAGTTACTTCAAATACAAAAAGTACAGATCTACCTTCTTGTTATTGGACAATGTTTTCAGGACATAAGGACTCATCATGTAAAACTGAACTTGTACATCATCCGCTACATATGGTTTCCATGCAGTTCCAGTCCATTCATAGATCTCAACAGCGTACTCCTTCAAGCACATTTCAAGTGTAAGAACGTACCGAAAAACAACCGAACTCTTCCTATGCCACTAAATATTTTGTAGTCAGATCCATTAGTCTCATATGGGTGAGCAATTACCAGATCATCATTGATTCGGTACATAGCGGGCTCATTTATTTCTCCGACCTTGTGATGGTTGACATTGGCAGCCTACAAGCAGAAATCACAATAATATAAAAAATGTGTATTAACTATAAAAGAACAGTAAGAAATTTAGAAAACCCCATAAATTTTAATACTGCCCTGACTTTTTAACTTCTCCAGAAAATGATCAATCAAAAACTAAACTAAAACAGCATAAAGAAACCATGCATCTCTGTGAGGAAAAAGAATATAATATTGTTTTACCTTAAGATGACCCCTTTCATGGAAAATCCATTTAGTAATCTCAGTCACAAATTGCTCATTACCAGACTTCTCATGTCTTGCAACAACAAACAAGTCATACGTCAATTTCTTGCAGGAAATAACTAATTCAACGGCATATAAGAATACATCCAGTCAAAATGAAAGATTTGACAAGTAGTTATATCTTCACAAGCAAAACTACATGGTAAACGACTACATGCACATATGATACGCACACATGCTAATATGCTATGTAGTAAAATAGGTATATATGTGTTTGTCTGTTCTATGAATACATGCATGCAAGTGAGGAATGATAAAACTTAACGTAACTTTATGATGTAGGAGGCGGCTAATCATATAAGAGTTTAATTTTATATTTTTATTTAATCTTTTCAAAAAAAAAACTCCCCTTCCTAGGCTCTCTTCTTACATGCATTTGGTGCAATCCCTACTATATCCATTTGTTGATTGAAAGCCAGTATATTTTCTGACTTCTCACAAATGAATTTCACACTCATACTATGTCTATCGGCATAAACATGCGTCACTGCATTTTATAGCTTTCGTTATAGTTAAACTGATGTGAGACTGAGGCTTGGCTCAGTAGTAAAGGAATTCAGGCAGGTTATAGAAAGTCCCAGGTTTAAGCAAATCCATACCCATGCACCTATCCTCCCGAGACACTCCCAGGCGCTGAGCAGTTCCATTTACAAATGGGCAATCTAAAAATCTTCTATTTAGATTCCAAGTTGAAATCTTGGAGGGCTAAAATTAAAATGAATGGAAATCATGAGTTCTATTTAGATTCCAAGTTGAAATCTTGGAGGGCTAAAATTAAAATGAATGGAAATCATGAGTTATATATATTAGTATTTCATGAAGACTTCAGAAAAGAGGGCTAAAATTAAAATGAATGGAAATCATGAGTTATATATATTAGTATTTCATGAAGACTTCAGAAAGTTTCAGTAGATAGATTGATAGATGTGTGTATGTGTGTGTGTACATATATATGAACAACAAGCTTTTCATAATGGTAGCAGAATTCTCAGTAACCAAGTGATTCAAGAGTTTGAAATAGACAGATGAAGCAACTTCTGAGAAACATAAAGCTACTTAAACATCAAGCCACCTTAGGTTCAAATACAATCATGTCATTGCTAGGTTCAAATCCAATCGAGGTAAATATCTGGTCAAATTCAACCAAGGGACTCATCACTATAAAGCTCAAACCAAAATAAAGATATCCTTGCAGCATTTGGATCTTAACTTCGTATTCCAACAAGATGCCCTGGAATTTAGAAATAGTTGCAGGTGTGGCACCAGTTCTGATGGTTACCATGAAAATTCACGTTCAGTAGTGAAATTCACAGTTTCAGGAAAAAGGAATATGTATGATGTATCCTTCACTCTTCATTATAAGTTCTCAGAAAAATATAATTTTATGGAAAGAACTTGATCTAGATGGAACAGACATCATGGTTTAATCTAAACCTGAAAATATGGGGCAAAAGAATGCAAAATAAGAAGGCAAAATAAGTGAAACTTTACTTACTTAGTTGAGCTTCCAACCTTCTGGACACCAGATCTTAAAAATCTGAAAATCGCCCAAATAGAAATTCATAGAGGGAAACTGATAGATATCAAAGAAAGGTAAAAATAACTTAAATAGATTATATACCGATTGCTAAATAGGTCCAATGAGCCAGAAATCAAAACGCGGGCGTTGTTTCTTGCCTGCAAAACACATCAAACTTCGTCAGTATGACTATAAGATATAACTTCTTCAAACTAAAACAAAGTCGAAAAGGAAGAGATGTGAAGGTAAGAATTGAACAAGTTCTCTTATAATTTATACCAAAAATGCAACAACTGGATACAATGCAGAAAGTTTAACTTGAACTAGCCACCGCAAACATATAACATCTATTGGTAATTTAAACATTAATAACTTAAAAGATGACATAGAATGCACGTTATAGCTCAGATGATAGCACAAAAGGATAATTTACACAAGCCAAGAGGACTAAGTAAACAAGATAGATCACGCCACCTAACTTCTTCCCCATGACTAAGGACTAGATGCTTGATCTCTGTTATATAAAGCTCACATATGTATGTACTAGTAAGATGAAAATTGAAGTAATTAATTTGCCCAACATACTTCAACGAGATTGTCTCTGAAGAATCTGCCCTTTTTGACTTTAAGGCAAGAAAAAAAGTGCAATAAAATCTATTGTCCTCTTTGATCTCCACTTATCACAAGAAGAATCAGTACAATCATTGCAGATTCTCTAAACTCGTCATCAGAAAACGGAAAAGGTATAAGGCAAGAAATCATAGTCAGACTCATAAAACAAATCACTGGTAATTGGTGAAAGCTTAACCAACATGTTATGCTGGACTCAAACCCTTTAGGCCATATTTGGTTTTTAAATAGTGAGGGTACTATTTTAAAATAGTCCGGGCCCACCTCTTTAGCCAATGTTTTTTAATCTGGTCCGGAATATTTTTAAGCAGATAGATACTACTTTAATACCCAATAAGGAGACTAAACTAAACACACCTCACCGCCACCTTTACAATCCGGATATTTACCATCAAGGGGGATTAAGATTTTTTGACAAAAATGATCCTATCCTTTGAATTTCCCCAAAATCTTACAATGATTCTCTCTATATCTTTTCACAATTTCTTTTTTGTGTGCGCTGTTTTACCGCGGGATTTTTCCACAGGTTCTTTTTCATTCGGAGTCTATTTCTTCTAGAAAACGAACATAAATCTAGAAAACAGTCATGAAACCTTGCGTAAATACATATATTGTTGCCATATGTCTATGTGTTCAAGTGGATGCTATTTGTGGACATGATATCACAACACGCACACGCACACACGCACGTATATGTATAATATAAAAGCTTTAAACAATACAAAGGAGAGGGTATAAGATCAGAAAAGCCTCTAATGTGGTAATGATTTCATATGATATATTTTGTAGACTTCAACTTTTTATTGACATAGAATTTAAGCCGATAAGCATAACCATCGGACCTCACCAACTAGTATGCGGATGGTTCCCCCTCCTTCAATGAAAATATGTGATATGCATAGTTTTGGATTTGCCGCAAATTATCATATCCATCTTCAAACCCGAAGCTCAGTAGCATATACATCGTCAGAAGCTCAGTAGAGTATACATCGTCAGAAGCTCACACAATTCAAGCCAAAGATGGTATAATACAATATGTCAATATGCATTTACTTGAGAGCTAAAAGATCATTCTGATTATGACACTAATCCCAACAGTCATAAACCTACTAAAACAAACACTAGCATGGACTATTGTAAATTAGTTTGATTGTTTGTCCGTGTGAAGACAAACATTGGATTGGACTAAAATAGTCCCATGATAGTACAGTTCCTGAGTTCCAGTACTATAGTCCAAGGAATAAAATAAAATACCCTCTAGTCCCAGGATAAAAAACAAGCACGGCCTTAAAGGATTAAGGTCATGTCTGTTTTATATGTTTTTCTCTCCTTTGATCTTTAAAAATCCTTTTTCAGCAGTTAGTTAAAATTTTGGTCGTTAGAAATTTAATAATATTTGGTTACAATTTTCACCAAAAATTAGCATATCATCGGCCGGGTTCATGTTTAGTTAGTTGTTCTGAGCTTTGTATGATTGTTTACTAGAGGGCAAAAATGTCACCATGGTTTTGATATCAGTCCTACAGACCATAATTCCCCTAACAACAAACACCGATATGGACAATTTTAAATTAGTCCGAATGTTAGTTCGTGCGAAAACAAACGTTAAACTGCACTGAATAGTCCAAAGACAACACAATCCCAGGACTATAGGCCGGGATTTACATTACCCCTTAATCCAATGATAAAAAAACAACATGACCCAAGCATATTGTTCAAAAATTATTTTGTTGCAGCTTCAAGTTCAACCCATAAGAGAGATCTGACCAACATATTAAGCCCATTCAAACTCTAACAAGATCTCATACTGTGAAAAGGATTAAATTTGCATTGCATATCTAACAAGATTTCATCAAATTACAAACAGGTGAACATATTGACTATTGAGTCAAGATCTTCACTTAGACAAGTTAGGTATGCTTTACAAAACGCTTGGAGTTCTTACTCCAATACCTCGGGCCCTACTAGCTTTCTGATGCTCTCGTGTCTAACCATCACTACCCAGGTTTAGCAATATTACCTTCTCCCTTTTAGAATTTTTTGGATGGGAAATTATCCCATTCAGTGATTTGTTTCCTGATGACAGTGACCTGTAAAGAAGGCACCAAGCGTTTAAAAATCGTATATTACACAATTTTGTGTAACCTCAGAACACCATGCTTCTTATGATTCTATAGGACAGTCAATCAAATTAAACACCACCTTCAATCATCAATTTGTATGTTATTTATTACTGGTTTATGTCAGAGTTCTCGATCATGTTCCCAAATTTTTACCGTGTTTCAGTCCCCAACTTCCTGTACTTTTGTGGTCTGTATTCTTGGGAAGATAGAGATAACAAAGTTATGGATCAGTACTTTAACATTGCTATTTTTGTAGAATGAGAAGTGATTAGACTATGTTTGCGAAAATGTTAAAAGCCAAGACTCGCATGCATTGCCTCTTTAGAATATAGTGACTACAAAATGAATGGATTACCCTAGAGCAGCTTAACATATTCCTTCTAAATTAGAGAGTTTGAGGAGCTACTCCCTTTTGCGTGAGTTTAAATTTCATATGGTACCCTTTTATGTAACAAATAGCCACATTGGTCATATGGGCAATCCCCTCTTTTGACAATAGTTTCTGTGCTTCCCCAGTAAAGGATTTGGCTCCAAAACTAAAAAGGTTTATTCAAACTATGGGCGGATCATAAAAACTTTTCAAATGGGGATTGTAAAAAGCGGTCAAATTTTTCATGAGCATCCTCAACATCAAGATAAATGTGACTCTAATCTTGGAGAAACACTTAGATGAGAAGGATATTTGTCTTAATACTTAACGTATAACATTTTGTACTTTTTATCTAACAAAAGTAATAGTTGTGCCACTATCAACTTGATCCAAAGTTGAATATTAATTCTTCAAAACTATGAAAGTGAAAAGAAAGATCCTCCTACCGATTTAGAGGTAGAATATCATCCATGCTGAAATTTAATTTAATCCACTACAACAACAACGATAAGGCCTTCATCCAAAATAGGCTGCATAAATCCTTACATATCGATAAAAGAATAATATTAGAATGTTCTTAAATCAAGTAAACCGCACAAAGAATGATGATGCAAATCAGGGACAAGTGTATAATCATCCAAAGGAACCGTGTGCTATATATTTTCTCACTTGTCATGGTAAATTAGCATAACATAGTAAGATAAATAAAAAGGAGAGCATTAGACAACCTGCACAACGGAAACCAATGATATAGCAGAGCCTGTGAGAGGAGGAGGACTTGTAAGCTTGGTTTTCGGGTTAGCTGAATATGCTGAAGGAGAGGCAGACAGGACTTTCAAAACCTGCAAAAATGACCAGATATTATGAGGACACAAAAAGGTTTGCCCAAATATATATGAAAATAACATGAACACGACACTCGGATCATTATAAACTGGCAACAAGGCATCCGGAACATAGAGGAATCACCAGGCTATTAGCAGGATTTATGGAGTGACCAATTCCTCTGAAGAGTACAGGCGCCTGTAGAAAGAGTTGATTGTCAATGATAATGCAGGGTAAATGCTATATCAAATTTGACTATGTATTAAGATATGGCAGCATATAACTGAACATGCTTATCATGCCAATCACTTCAGAACTTTGAATGCTCTCTTCAATGAAAACAGAGCAAAAAATTGACTTGTTAGAATTGGGACCCTCTTGCAAGTTTTTGGACAATCCTTGTTCCGATGAAATCCAGATAACAATTCGGTTGGTTGTACACAGTAGGCCTAATATTAAAGAGATTTATTACGAAAGGTGACATACTTGATTAAAACTGTGTTTTGTATGGGGATGATAATGAGACAGCCAATAACTTGTTTTTACAGCACTTTTATGTAGAACCGATTTGGTAAATCTATTAAGAAGTTTTTGGAGTCCACCTAAGGAGTCAGTTGATTTGTGGTCCAACTGGAAAAGGATCATGCTTGCATGACGGTCAGAATTGAATGGGATCATTGTCACTGCTTCAGTCTGGCTGGCTTGTTTGGATGGAAAGAAATTTGACAATGATTTGGATAAAAACTAGACAATATTTTTCTTCTTTCATTTATTAATGGCATGGCTGCTTCTTTGTTAGATAAAAAACAATAAGACATAGTTGAAATTATTTTACTTGATTAGATCATTTGATGAGTGAACACGAGATAAAGGGACTTTACTTATTTTGGTTTCTTTTAGCTTACTGGTACATTTGTCACTTCATGCAGAGTAACAATTGGTTGTGGAGGTTTTTCATTCAGCTGTTCGTTGGTAGGAGTCATTAGATCTGTTATGTTGATCCAGCATACTAGTGGCATGAAAAATGCGCTTTCATTTGGCTGGATTCTTAGGACACCACCCTGGTTCAGAAGAACGCTAAGTAGGAGAAGCTTCATAATTTTCATATGCAGTTAGGTGTTGACATTGAAATTTACAGATGTTTCTAACCTAAATTGCCAATTCAGATACTCCTAGAATAAACAAAATTCCTATAATAAACAGAGATAACACTTCTATACTTGTGCGCCTACAAAATAAACAGTGAATCTTGTCTTTCCAAAATTTCAAAGTTCTAAATAGAAAATAACAGGTACAGATTATGTGGCCAAATTCGAATGCTTCTTCATTACCCATTATCCATCACAGAAACATCTATAATAGGGAGCTTATGTTGACAAAGGAAGAAATTGACTCTGAGACATCATCAAGTAACTTAAAGATGTCAAGCTAAAGGCTGTACTTTGGCCATTTTAAGGTTCCACGCCTCCCACTTCTGACATGAGATTAGACATGAAATTAATGCTAAACAATAAAAAAAAAGGAGTCAATAATTAGCTCAAACCTTTATAATGCAATGGAAAGAATTGACACTTCCCCCATAGTAGAAACTAAACAAGAAAATAGTTGACATAGAAACATGCTACTTCTATCCAAGCTTGTATCCTTGTACAAGACATTCTTGAAATAGATGGAAAATATATATGGTGTTCATGTATAAGGCTTGATAAGTATTGTAAGTCGTACATGTCCAGCAGAATAAAAGGATTGCTCTAAATGAAACTCTATGTGTTGAATAGAAGAAACAGAAGGCTTTATGCAAATAAGGAGAATTAATAATAGCAGAATCTTGGTAGCATGAAATTCCAACAAATCATATTATGGACAAATTGCATTCCTTTTAAATAACTTTTGGGGCTAAGAGCCTGTAATAAGAGGAATCATACAATCCAAAACGATATTGCCCAATGGAAACAAAGCATTTGCACTCATCTAGTCTGTATCCGAATCCAGCCTAAATTGTTGTGTCTTATTTCCAGGGTAAACAAAACAAAAGTAATGATGAAAAGAAGAATCGATAAAAGAAGTTCGATTGAGGTGCAAATGTAAATTAAAGCTTTATGGTATTCTGTGGTAAAGTGGTTATAATAGTGCATCCCAAAGATCAGAGGGAGATCAAACAGGAAGAGGGAAGCAGAGACACAACAATGCACGGCGGAAAAGTGGAAGAAATGTCTGCATTTTCTATAAACGATAAATGTTTTTCTCCAACAATCAAATTTTTATAGTAATGTGATCAATCACCATTTCCATGACGGCATGACCAAATATCAAACTCTCACCTCAATCTTCTTCTTCCCCAAAATCACATCCGACTTGATAAAATCGTCAGCTGCAATCAACGTATGATCCCCTTCAGTCTCTGACACCGCATGACCAATGTGATCAATCACCATTGCATCCGAATCCTAAATCCAAATCATCAATAACAAATCAGCCAGAAAAGACAATCAATCGCACCAAATCTCTACTGACCTCATCAAAATCAACACCACACTCCGCTGCAATCCCCTTGATCAACTCCGAAGCTGACGGATCCGCCGCCAGAATCAGATCCCGGGGCATCCACGAAATCAAGAACCGCCGCCTGATCCACAGATCCTCCAAACCCTAAAAACCCCGAAATCAAATTAAAAACTTATCCCTAAGATTTTTCATTCTTTGAGACAGAGAGAAACAAGGAGTTACTAGTGATTGAAGGGGCGAAGAGTATAAGTGCATCGTATAAATACTGTCCATAGCGCTGGAGAGCGAGCTTGGGATCGTCGGCGAGCTTGAAATCGAGATCGAAGCCTCCGGATCTCAGGGAATTGAAGAAGATAGAGTGGGAGGATTGAAGAGCGAGATCGTCGACGAGGACGAGGATGCGGCGGTCGGTTGGGCTGTCGATGTTGAACGATGAGCTTAAAAGGGGGAGAAGAAAGAGGAGAGCGACGAGAGCGTGGAGCTTCGCCATTACTAGGGTTTGGGACTCGAGAAGTGAGGAAGAAAGAGGTGATCTCGAGGAAAGCACGAGGTCGTCGCGCGGTCAAAAGCGGCCCAGCTAAGAGCGGGCGAGCCCAGACCGAACGTTGCGCCTGATCTTTGTTGGTCCATTTGAGAAACTTTGGGCCTTATGTTCAAATGCACCTTGGCTGCTGGCTGCTTATGTTCATCAAATTAAAGAAAGTCTATAATAAGAATGCCCCGTTATATATATATGTTCACGTGTAATGCACGTAGTTAAATGTCATAATTAAGTATTTTTTTGTTTATTTTCTTACTAAAATTTGTTCATAGGGTTCACTTTAATTGTCTTTGCTCGCTTATATCTCTAAATTTTAGTATTGTGATTATTTATTTTCTTTAATATACGTTTAAGTGAGCTACACCCTATTTAAATTTTCATATTGAAAATTGAATTGCTAGGAAATAAATATAATCTGAAGTCAATTTAAATAATCATGTTATTTGGACCGCCATGAAACCAAGCGTGACCTGAGAGCGTATAGTATTGTAAAAGTAAAAAAAAACACTTTAAAAAATAACGTTACAAAAAGAAAATAAATAATTAAATCTAATAAGACAAGATGATTGGTTAAAAGTGTGTTAAAACAACACAAAAGAGAATATGTAGTTTGTTTCTAATCTTTGATAGGCTTTAAAAAATCATAAATTAAAGATTAATACTAACTCAAAAAGCTCATGAAAATCCACATAAGCATATAAAAGTATTCCTAATTTACTTTAAAAATCATAAATGTATACTTTTAAATGATAAAAGCATCCACATAAGCATATAAAAGTACTTAAAAGTTCATGAAAATCCCTTCTAAAGATTCCTAATTTACTAAAAAAATAAACTATTTTATAAAATATTCAGAAATCATTGTCTTTTGTTCCTTCCGTTTTATTTTTTATTGAGCCGACATCAATGCATCTCCACCTTTATGTTTTCTGATAAAATTAATTTATGTTTAGATGCTGAAAGTGATAATAAATCTTAAATTAGAAGTTAAATTTATATACCTTAATGAAAAAATATCAAACAACTACTTTTTTCTTTGCTAAGTTTTAAAATTTTAGTCTATTTTGTGATTTTAAAATTTTGAGGGTGCGTTTTATAAATTTTAAAACTTTGAGAGTGTTTTATAAAAATTTTAAATTTTAAGTTAGGTGCTTGTAATTTTTATGTTTTATGTGTTGGTGATAAGTTTTTGAATGGCAAGATATTTCTTACAACTCTGAAATTTTGATGGTGTTTTTTACAATTATTAAATCCTTTGATTGCTTTTTGTAAAATTCAAATTTTCAGCGGTCTGGTGATAGTTTTTAGATTTGATATGTATTGGTTATAAGTTTTGAAATTTTAGGATTTTTTTGTGATTTTCACCTTTTTAATGAGCTTTTACAATTTTTATAACTTTAAGGTTATTTTCTATAAATTTTAAAATTTCAGGTGTCAGGTGGTAATCTCTTGAATTTATCTTTATTGTTTGTAAGTTTTAGAATTTTGGGGTGTTTTTTTATTATCTAAACTTTTGAGGGTGTTTCTATAATTTTTTAAATGTTGAAGGTGTGAGCCCTAAGCTCGCGGGCCAGTTGGTGCATGCAAGCCGTAGAACCCACTGAATGTAACGTGTTATTTGGCTCAATCAACTGCCAAAATCGACTGGCCGATGTTAAACTTAGAGTCCTGGGCTTACCTATTTAAGCCACACAATTTCACTCTAAACACCTAATGTGGGACTAAAGTTGGGGTCTCACAGAAGGTGTTATTTGCAGATTTTTAATTTTTTAAAGGCTGGTGTTAATTTTCAAATTTCATGTTTATTGTTTTAAGTTATGAAATGCCAGGATGTTTTGTGTAATTTTAAAGTTTTAATATTTTGTGCAATTTTAAAATAAATTTGGGTCATTTTGTAATACTTCATATAATATAGCATGTTAGTTCTTTACCTTAACAAATTAATACAATACATATGTTTTAAGTATTTTTGTTAACCTTGTTTTTTAAGTTGTTGAGTTGTAGGTAGTGCGCATTGGATTAGGATAGGATATAATTATGATTAGGATAGTTTAAGATTTAAATAAAATATTTAAAATAGTGAAGGGTGATATTGACCATAGAAAGTTTTTCTCAAACTCGTGCTTTTAAAGAGAGTATGATATATATATATATATATATATATATATATATATATATATATATATATATATATAGGCCGGCATCCACGAAATCAAGAACCGCCGCCTGATCCACAGATCCTCCAAACCCTAAAAACCCCGAAATCAAATTAAAAACTTATCCCTAAGATTTTTCATTCTTTGAGACAGAGAGAAACAAGGAGTTACTAGTGATTGAAGGGGCGAAGAGTATAAGTGCATCGTATAAATACTGTCCATAGCGCTGGAGAGCGAGCTTGGGATCGTCGGCGAGCTTGAAATCGAGATCGAAGCCTCCGGATCTCAGGGAATTGAAGAAGATAGAGTGGGAGGATTGAAGAGCGAGATCGTCGACGAGGACGAGGATGCGGCGGTCGGTTGGGCTGTCGATGTTGAACGATGAGCTTAAAAGGGGGAGAAGAAAGAGGAGAGCGACGAGAGCGTGGAGCTTCGCCATTACTAGGGTTTGGGACTCGAGAAGTGAGGAAGAAAGAGGTGATCTCGAGGAAAGCACGAGGTCGTCGCGCGGTCAAAAGCGGCCCAGCTAAGAGCGGGCGAGCCCAGACCGAACGTTGCGCCTGATCTTTGTTGGTCCATTTGAGAAACTTTGGGCCTTATGTTCAAATGCACCTTGGCTGCTGGCTGCTTATGTTCATCAAATTAAAGAAAGTCTATAATAAGAATGCCCCGTTATATATATATGTTCACGTGTAATGCACGTAGTTAAATGTCATAATTAAGTATTTTTTTGTTTATTTTCTTACTAAAATTTGTTCATAGGGTTCACTTTAATTGTCTTTGCTCGCTTATATCTCTAAATTTTAGTATTGTGATTATTTATTTTCTTTAATATACGTTTAAGTGAGCTACACCCTATTTAAATTTTCATATTGAAAATTGAATTGCTAGGAAATAAATATAATCTGAAGTCAATTTAAATAATCATGTTATTTGGACCGCCATGAAACCAAGCGTGACCTGAGAGCGTATAGTATTGTAAAAGTAAAAAAAAACACTTTAAAAAATAACGTTACAAAAAGAAAATAAATAATTAAATCTAATAAGACAAGATGATTGGTTAAAAGTGTGTTAAAACAACACAAAAGAGAATATGTAGTTTGTTTCTAATCTTTGATAGGCTTTAAAAAATCATAAATTAAAGATTAATACTAACTCAAAAAGCTCATGAAAATCCACATAAGCATATAAAAGTATTCCTAATTTACTTTAAAAATCATAAATGTATACTTTAAAATGATAAAAGCATCCACATAAGCATATAAAAGTACTTAAAAGTTCATGAAAATCCCTTCTAAAGATTCCTAATTTACTAAAAAAATAAACTATTTTATAAAATATTCAGAAATCATTGTCTTTTGTTCCTTCCGTTTTATTTTTTATTGAGCCGACATCAATGCATCTCCACCTTTATGTTTTCTGATAAAATTAATTTATGTTTAGATGCTGAAAGTGATAATAAATCTTAAATTAGAAGTTAAATTTATATACCTTAATGAAAAAATATCAAACAACTACTTTTTTCTTTGCTAAGTTTTAAAATTTTAGTCTATTTTGTGATTTTAAAATTTTGAGGGTGCGTTTTATAAATTTTAAAACTTTGAGAGTGTTTTGTAAAAATTTTAAATTTTAAGTTTGGTGCTTGTAATTTTTATGTTTTATGTGTTGGTGATAAGTTTTTGAATGGCAAGATATTTCTTACAACTCTGAAATTTTGATGGTGTTTTTTACAATTATTAAATCCTTTGATTGCTTTTTGTAAAATTCAAATTTTCAGCGGTCTGGTGATAGTTTTTAGATTTGATATGTATTGGTTATAAGTTTTGAAATTTTAGGATTTTTTTGTGATTTTCACCTTTTTAATGAGCTTTTACAATTTTTATAACTTTAAGGTTATTTTCTATAAATTTTAAAATTTCAGGTGTCAGGTGGTAATCTCTTGAATTTATCTTTATTGTTTGTAAGTTTTAGAATTTTGGGGTGTTTTTTTATTATCTAAACTTTTGAGGGTGTTTCTATAATTTTTTAAATGTTGAAGGTGTGAGCCCTAAGCTCGCGGGCCAGTTGGTGCATGCAAGCCGTAGAACCCACTGAATGTAACGTGTTATTTGGCTCAATCAACTGCCAAAATCGACTGGCCGATGTTAAACTTAGAGTCCTGGGCTTACCTATTTAAGCCACACAATTTCACTCTAAACACCTAATGTGGGACTAAAGTTGGGGTCTCACAGAAGGTGTTATTTGCAGATTTTTAATTTTTTAAAGGCTGGTGTTAATTTTCAAATTTCATGTTTATTGTTTTAAGTTATGAAATGCCAGGATGTTTTGTGTAATTTTTGGTGTTAATTTTCAAATTTCATGTTTATTGTTTTAAGTTATGAAATGCCAGGATGTTTTGTGTAATTTTAAAGTTTTAATATTTTGTGCAATTTTTATTGTTTTAAGTTATGAAATGCCAGGATGTTTTGTGTAATTTTAAAGTTTTAATATTTTGTGCAATTTTAAAATAAATTTGGGTCATTTTGTAATACTTCATATAATATAGCATGTTAGTTCTTTACCTTAACAAATTAATACAATACATATGTTTTAAGTATTTTTGTTAACCTTGTTTTTTAAGTTGTTGAGTTGTAGGTAGTGCGCATTGGATTAGGATAGGATATAATTATGATTAGGATAGTTTAAGATTTAAATAAAATATTTAAAATAGTGAAGGGTGATATTGACCATAGAAAGTTTTTCTCAAACTCGTGCTTTTAAAGAGAGTATGATATATATATATATATATATATATATATATATATATATATATATATATATATATATATATATATATATATATATATATATTATATATATATATATATATATATATATATTATATATATATATAATAGAGGAGAGAGAGAGAGAGAGAGAGAGAGAGAGAGAGAGAGAGAGAGAAATGGGTATGCTTGGTACCAAGCACAAAAATTTGTGCTTCATAATGAGGTGGCATAATCCCCTCCACTAATTCAAATGATTGCATATCCTCATGCACTCCTCAACCCATGTGAATGTGGTCTCCCATTTGAATGAGTGGAGGGGATTGTGTCACATCTAGGGGTGCCAAACGGTTCGGATATATCCGAACCGATCCGCATCCGTATCCGAACGGGGTAATCGGGTCCCCATCTTATAGTTACAAACCCGCTAACCCAAAACCAAAACTAAAAAGAAAAAACCCTAGGCCCTCACTCACCCTCAGCCCTCACTCCTCAAGCCGCCTCCACTCTCAAATCGCCCACACCTCCACGATTCTCCAGCGACGGAGCGGCGGGATTTTCCGGCGATCTCACAGCCGGCGATCTCACAGCCGGCGATCTCTTCTCCTCTACCTTCTCGCCAGCGAAGAGTCAGCGAAGACTGAGTCGCCACTCGCCTCCTCTACCTTTTCGTGTAAATTGGGTAACCATTTTTAGCTGCACCTAACTCTCAAATCAAGTTACTACAAAACTAGAAACATCAAGATCAAGCAATGATATGGGGTTTTTTCGTACTCTTCTGCAAATTATAAAATTCCAAATGGGCCATTTAACAAAAATCAACCGTCAATTTAATCACAAGTCGTCGTCGGCTGGATGTTTCATGAAGATTGACAAAGATATTTGTACACCATTACTAGCTAGTCACTGTTTTTTGTCTACCCGACTTTCGTCCATTTCATGTTTTTTAAGCCAATCCTGCTCCCTGGGGCTTTCTACGCTTGTTGATTAAATCGGATTTTTTGTCTACCCTTGTTGACAGCGAAACCTACTCCCTGGGGCTTTCTACGCAAAAAATCCGAATTTCTCATGCAAAATAAATATTAATTGTGTATCAAATAACAATAAATAGTTATGATTGAGAAATGGGAGAAAATAAACCCTGTATTGTAATAAGTTGTAGCTGCAGTTATGTTACACAAGTTTGTTTTGGGCTATCAGTGCTTTTAGACTTTTGCAAGGATCCATTGCAATTAACTATTTTAGCTGCCAGAAATGAACTTAATTAAATTGGATTTTATTGATCTGTTACTGAATGATCTGTTACTACTTTTAGCTCAATTTTAGTTTTCAATTGATGGTTTTGTATGAAGATTATATGTCTAATAGATTTATGTCGAATATCCGTTTATATCCGTGATCATATCCGATCCGATTCTTAAATATCCGAACCGTATCCGTTTCCGATAAATGCGGATATGGTTAAGGTTTTTTTTTACCGAGGGTGATCCGTATCCGTATCCGTATCCGTTTATAAAAAGCGGATATGGATATGGTAAACGTCATATCCGAACCGTATCCGCTCCGATAACACCCCTCACATCACTACCAAGTATAAAATTTATGCTTGGTACCAAACATACTCATATTTCTCATATATACACACACACACACACACACACACACACACACACACACACACACACACACAAACACTAATGTGCACCCTCGTGCAAAGCACGACCTCCATTTTTTATTTTCACTATAGTAATTATGTATTTAAATACAATTTTGGTAAGCGCTACAATAGCATTTTTTAATGCTATGATATCATGCCTGAGAATAATGCTACAGTAGTATTTTAAAATGATGTGGTTCCCGTCTGTACTACAGAAATAATGCTATAGTAATTCATTGTAGCATGAATAGTGAATCATGAATCCTCCTGTTTGTGCTACAATAGCAATATTACGGTGATTTACTGTAACATGAATAGTGAATCTTGGATCCTCCCATTATTAAAAATATATATATTCCTCTATAATAATGGGAGGATCTAAGATTCACTATTCATGAATCCTGTAAAATGCTACAGTAAATTACTGTTATATTGTTATTGTAGCATAAACAGGAGGATCCATAATTCACTATTCATGCTACAATGAATTATTGTAGCATTATTACTGTAGCACAGGCGGGAACCGCAGGGTTTTAAAAACATTACTGTAACATTATTACTGTAGCTCAGGCTGGATACTGTAACATTTTAAAAATGTTACTGTAGCACTGTACAAAAGTTTTTATTTAAATACATAATTACTGTATCGAAAATAAAAAAAATGGAAGTCGTGATTTGCAAGGAGTGCACACTAGTATGTATG